GGGGCTGGGCATGGGGGTTCGTGCCTGTAATCCCAGCTACTCGGGAGGTGGAGGTAGCAGAATCACAGCCCAAAGCTGACCAGGGCAAAAAGCTTGAGGCTCTGTCTGGAAATAACTTGACGAGCAGAAGGGCTGGGGCAGTGGCTCAAGCGTAGAGTGTGTGCCTAGCAAGTGGGAGGCCCCGAGATCAATCCCACCTCCATCCGAAAAAAAAGAACGAAAGGCTTCATTCGCCTACACTGGTGCAGTTTTATACACAGGACTGTGACGTGGGCCTAGGGCAAGTGCTGTGCCACCGAGCCACGTTCCCAATCCCCAGTGTCATTTTACATTTTCTAGTAGCACCATTAAAATGGGAGAGGAACAGGTGACCTTCATCTTAATAAATTTTTTTTGTGGTGCTGGGACTTGAACTCAGGGTCTACACCTGAAGCCACTCTACCAGCCCTTTTTTGTGAAGGGTTCTTTGACATAGGGTCCCACGAGTTCCTTGCCCTGGCTGGCCTCTAACCGCGATCCTCCTGGTCTCTGCCTCCTGAGTCGCTGGGATTACAGACGAACCCTGCATGTCCAAACATCATCAAGCGAAAACTACCGTGAACGTGAAACTATTCGGGAGGTTTCTTTTCCTTTAACCAAGTCTTGGAAATCCAGCATGGAGTCTGTACGAGCAGTGACGTTTCAAGAGCTCAACACGGACATGGGACCAGTGTTCCAAGATGGCTGCCATAAGGTTGCTCGGGTGTATAAAGGGTTCCTTGGACATTCCCACAAGTAGTCTTGTGGATCCTGGAGTCTTAAAATGGTCTCCGTATCTTCCCCGGCCTCTACCCACAGGCTCCAGCCAGGGACAGTTCTATGTGACCTGTTAGTCGTGGGTGGCGGCTCCAACACCATGCTGACCAGACACAAGGAGGGCCTGACCCCCAGCACTCAAGAAGAAGCCAACAGGAGTCTCAGGTGCTCCATTTAGGATCGTGCTGGGCGTGGTGATGCACGCCTGTAGTCCCAGCACTTAAGAGGCTGAAGTAGGAAGATGGAGAGTTCCAGGCCAGCCTGGGCTACATAGCAAGACTCTCTCTCTCTCTCTCTCTCTCTCTCTCTCTCTCTCTGAAAGAAAGGAAGAAAAGAAGGAAGAAAAAGGAGGGAGGAAGGAAGGAAGGGAGGGAGGGAGGGAGGTAAGAAAAGAGAGAAAAGAAAAAAGAAAAGAAATGAAGGCCAGGCATGGTGACTCATGCCTGTAATCCTGTCAACTCAGAAGGCAGAAATTGGGAGAACTATGGTTCAAGGCCAGCCTGGGCAAAAAGTTCTCAAGACCCCATCTTAACTAATGGCTGGATGCAGACTGGCTCACACCTGTCATCCCAAGCTACAAGGGAACCATAAACAAGGAAGCTGTGGCCCAGGCCAGCCAGGTCTCAAGAGAGACCCCATCTCAAACAATAACCAGCACAGGGCTGGGCACACGCTCAAGTGTAGAGCACATGCTTTCCAAGCCCAGGGCCCTGAGTTCAAACCCAGCACTGCCAAGAAAAGTCATCATAGGACCTCTGAGTTGCGGGGGAAAGGAGGAGTAGCTCACGGCACCAGCCTTTCCCTCCTCGCAGCCCCAGCCGAGCTTCTGTCGGCCATGTCTCCCCACCGCCCGCGCTCTGGCCGGAATGTTTCCTGTGGTGTGCGAGTCGGACCTACCTTTTCCCGAATTGGCGTTTAACAAACACACATGACTTTCAATGCAGTGCTGAGGTTTGAACTCAGGACCTCACGCTTACTAGGCAGGCAGGCAGGCACTCTCTTCCTTGAGCCCTTATTTGTGTCGGGTATTTCTCAAGATAGGGTCTCACAACTATTTGTCTGGGACTGGCCTCGAGCCACGAGCCTCCTGACCTCTGCCTCCTGAGTAGGTGGGATTACAGGCGTGAACACCAGTACCTGGCTCTCTTAGGTTTTTAGGCAAAGGTCTCTAATGGGTAGGGAAGTGTTTCCACAGGAGATTTATCGTGTCGTGCACACACACGCACACACAGGCACACGCACACATGCATGCACACTTGGTTTTTGCCTTTTATAGCGACATAAAAGCATGTTTAATTTTCGGCAGTACTGGGGTTTGAACTCTGGACCTTACACTTAGCAGGCATGCCGCCACTTGAGCCACACCCCAGCCCCCCCAGCCCCTGCTTTTTTTTTTTTAGCTTCAGTTATTTTTCAGGTAGGTCCAGTTTCCCACTTTTGCTTGGGGCCAGGACGATCCCCTACCTCCACCTCCTGTGTATCTGGGATTACAGGTGTGCACCACCACGCCCGGCCGGCGGTAGCAGTGAAGTTCTTTTCAGGAATGATGAGAGTTCTCTTTGTTGTGTGATGTGAAATCCTAGGGGCTCCTGAGCAGCGGGTTGAGGTGACCGGATTAAAGGCAGCAGGATGCCATGTCCAGCAGACAGGAAACGGAAGGAGTCAATGAAAAGACGAGAAGAATGATCTGCTTCCCCCGTGGTTGCCAAGTATTTCTGGAGCTCCTGGCCTTCTGAGACAGGAGTGTGGAGCGGCAGCTTTTAAATTTTCAGGGCTTTTGAAAACGTTTTTTAAATGTTTAGCTGGGGCCCTGTTGGGTGCTGGGCTGCATCCTGCTGTCTGGTCCCAGAGTCACAGTCAATGTCAGGACCCCTCGGGTTAAGGCAGGGAATGACCGCCACCACTGCTTGCGTGTGGGTCTCGTGCAAGTCCTGTGCTCCCAGACCTCCGAAAATAAAGGGAGACCAGGACCGAGGGAAAGTGCTGCCCCGTCACCCCGGCCTCCGGCTCCAAGGGGACTTGCACGAATGGCAGGACTGTTGTTTATCTATTGTGACCAGCACAGTGGCCATTACACAGACACAGGGGCTACTGAGCATTTGAAATGTGGCCCGAGCTGGGTGCCGGTGGCTCACGCCTGTAATCCCAGCTACAGGAGGCAGAGATCAGGAGGATCAAGGTTCAAAGCCAGCCTGGGCAAATAGTTTGCAAGACCCTATCTTGAAAAAACCCATCACAAAAAAAGGGCTGGTGGAGTGGCTCAAGTGGTGGGGCGCCTGCCTAGCAAGCGTGAGGCCCTGAGTTCCAACCCAAGGGCTACGAAAAAAAAAAAAAAAAGGAAGAACAGAAATGTGTGAGAGACAATGTGTCATTGTACCTCGTTTTAATTACGGTATACATTTAAGTAGTCACGTGTAACTCGTGGCTTCTGGGTTGGACGCAGAGCTCTCAAGCCTTGTTTCGGGTTTATAAACACAATCTTTGCAGAGATTAAGCTTTTTAAAAATGAAGGTGAGATTTCTTCTAGTGGCACGGGGGTTTGAACTCAGAGCCTTGAACTTGCTAGGCAGGCACTCTACTGTGTGAGCCACACCTCCAGTCCATTTTTTGCTCTGGTTATTTTGGAGATGGGGTCTCGAGAACTATTTGCCCGGGCTGGCCTCAAACTGCATTCCTCTCAATCTCAGTCTCCCAGGTAGCTGGGATTACAGCCATGAGTCACCGCGCCTGGCCTGTGTTCGTATCTTTTGTCTATTTTCCTAACGCATTACTTCTCTATCTTAGGAGCTCTTTAACGTGGCCTCACCGTTGCTTCCCAACACAGTGTGGATTTTTGCTGGTGGCTCAGTGCCTTGGCGTTAGCGCGGTGTCTGAATCTGCGGGGGGCACCATGGGCCTCCTTCGGGTGGGAGGCGGGGTCCCCGGCTCTGTCCTTGGTCACAAGCTTCTATTTCTGAGCAAGTTTCTCTGAGATGGCTTCAGCACAGCCTGTACACCCTCGGGGAGAGGTGGGCCTCAGTTTCCCGTATTTTGGTTCACTGATGACTTTCTACCGGCCCCTTTCTTCCCCTCTGGAGGTAGCTGTCACATAACTGATGACTTACCGCACGAGGAAACAGAATTGCAAACAACCCACCAGACGCCTACACTTGCCAAGGCCCCGCAAACTCTGGGTCCCATTACAGCACCATTCCCTGCTCCTCGCCAAACCAGCCATCTTTCTGTGCCTCTGTCCCCTCTGTGGCTTTCCACGGCCCTTGGGGTCGAGCCAGGTCTATAGAGCCACCATGGCCCCTCCCTGCTCTTCTGCCTCCTCTGCCTCGGCTGACTTGGTCACTGTTCCACATGTACTGGCCTTCAGTCCATCCCTCCCTCCATGGCACCAGGCCAGCTCACTTCTCAGAATTCAGCTCACGTCCTCATCTGGGGAAGATTCCCCTGCCCTGTTTGCACTGCTCTTCCCCACCCCAAGCAACAGGTAGCTTCTCTTGCTACAGCTTCTCATAAAAAGTGTCCCTTCATTGGACACAGTGGCTCTTGCCTGTAATCCCAGCTACTCAGGAGGAGGAGATCAGGAGGCTCACAGTTGCAGGCCAGCCCAGGCAAAAAGTGTACAAGATCCCCATGTCAACCAACAAGATAGGTGTGGTAGGGCATGCCTGTAATCCCAGCTACATAGGACGCAGAGATCAGGAGGATCACAGTTCAAAGCCAGCTGGGGCAAATAGTTCAAAACAAAAACAAAAAACCATACACAAAAGGGCTGGTGGAGTGGCTCAAGGTGAAGGCCCCGAGTTCAAACCCCAGTACCACGCCCACACGCAAACACAAAAGCAACAGGTGTCAGGGGTGGGCTGCAAATGTCCTTAGGTGACCTGGATGCGCAGTTACGGGGAGGATAACCCTCCATTCGGATCACAGCTTGGGGCTGGGGGAGGGAGCATGTCCTTCGCTCCTTTCTCCAGTGACCCCGGACCCTCGTTCCCTCTCCACCCAGGATGGAGACCGGTGGGCTGTGAAGGAGGACAGCCCCGCCCCCGCGAGACCACGCCCCCACGCAGAGACCACGCCCCCACCACCCCGCCCCTCGTGCCCCGCCCCCGGCCCCTGCGCAGCGGCTCCGGCGCGGCGGCTCCACTCCGGCGGAGTCCGGCCCGGGTTTCCGCGCGCTCCGCGTGCCCCGCCCCGCCCCGCGCCGCCTCGCGCCGCCGGAGCCGCTCGGAGCTGCGCGAACATGGCCGAAGTCGGCGAGGACAGCGGCGCCCGCGCCCTGTTGGCGCTGCGCTCGGCGCCCTGCAGCCCCGTGCTGTGCGCCGCGGCCGCCGCCGCCGCCTTCCCAGCCGCCGCGCCACCACCAACCGCGCCGCTGCCGCCCGGGCCCAACGCGTCCCCGCCACCGCCGCCGCCGCCCGCCCAGCCCCCGCCCGGGCCGCCACCGCCCGTGCTGCCGCCGCTGCCCCCCGGCGCCGCCGCGGTCCCCGGCCCGGTCCTGTCCCCGGCCCCGGCTCGGGCTCAGGCGCGGCACCGGCGCTGGTGGCCGCGGCGGCCGCCTCCGTGCGACAGAGCCCCGGGCCGGCGCTGGCGCGTCTCGAGGGCCGCGAGTTCGAGTTCCTCATGCGGCAGCCCAGCGTCACCATCGGCCGCAACTCGTCGCAGGGCTCGGTGGACCTGAGCATGGGGCTGTCCAGCTTCATCTCGCGGCGCCACCTGCAGCTCAGCTTCCAGGAGCCGCACTTCTACCTGCGCTGCCTCGGCAAGAACGGCGTCTTCGTGGACGGGGCCTTCCAGCGCCGCGGCGCGCCCGCTCTGCAGCTGCCCCCGCAGTGAGTGTCCCGCCCCGCTCCCGGCCCCTCGTACCCCCGGGCTCCCCGATCCCCCCGGCCACCGTGATCAACCCGTCCCCTGATCCCCCCATTCCCCCAGCCGCCCCGGTCCCTTGACCCCCCTGATCCCTGGTCACCCCGATCCCCCCCGATCACCCCGGACACCGTGATCATCCCGTCCCCTGATCCCCCCGGCCACCCTGATCCCCAATCCCACTGGTCCCCCGGTCCCCCAATCCTCCCATCCCCCGATCCCCCTCCCCCCATTCCCCCAGCCGCCTCGGTCCCCTGATCCCCCTGATCGCCGGTCTCCCTGGTCACCCCGATCCCCAGTACCCCGGACCTATCACGCTGATCACCTCCACACCCGATCCCCTCTCCCCCTGTCACCCCGATCCCCAGCACCCCGGACCGTCACCCCAATTGTCGGCACCCCTATCATCACCTCATCCTTATCACCCCAATCCCCAACACCCCAATCTCCTCACCCCAGTTCCCAGCACCCCATCATCCCGGACCCATCACCCTGATTCTGTCTGTGGCCCCAGTCTCCCCAGTCACCTCAACCCCCACATGCTGGACTCCTCACCCCAATCTAGTCACCCCGATCCTCTGTCACCCTGATACCCGGCATCTCTATCTTGTCATCTGCCACCCCAGACCTGTCACCCCAATCCTGTCAACCTAGTCACCCCAATTCTGTCACCCCAGACCCCATCAACCTGGTCACCCTGACCCTTCACCACCCTGATTTCCATCACCTGTCACTCTGATCCTGTCACCTGATCATCACCCTAGACCCGTCATCCTAATCTTGTCACTTCGGACTATCAACCTGATCCCATCTCCCCTGTCAACTCAGACCCCCTAATCCTGGCCCCTGTTACTCCATTCACCCCAGGCCCCTTCACTCTGATCCTGTCATCCCAAGCACTCCAGACTCATCAATCCAGACCTCCTATCCCTGGACTAGGTCATTCTATCACCTCAGCTCCAGAGAGCCTGAGCTCCCAGTTCACAGTGGCCTGATACCCCAGGTCACCCTGATCCCCCCGTGGCCTGACACCCCAAGTCAACCCCTACTGCTGATGGCCTGAAGCCACAGGTCACCCCTGACCTCTGAGAGCCTAAACCACCAGGGTCACACCACCTCCTGATGGCCTGAACCTCTGGGGTCACCCTGACTTCTGGTGGCCTAAAACCACAGGGTCTCTCTAATCCCTATCCTTGACAGTCTGGACTCCCAGGGTCACCTCTGACCCTGCTGACCTGAACCCTAGGGTCACACCCCCAACTCCAACTCCACTGGGCTTGAGCCCCCAGAGTCACTCCCAACTTTTGATGGCCTGAAACCCTGGGATCACCCCTGATCCCCATCCCTCTGCCCTGGACTCTGGGATTACCCCTGGAGTCACTCCTGACCCTATCCCACCTGGTATGAAATCCCAGGGTTACTCCTCCGTCACTCCTGATGGCCTGACCCCTTCCCCCAACCCCCGTCCCTGCGGCCTGAACCACCAGGTACACTCCTGTCCCTGCTTCCCTGCCAGCCTGCATTTCAGGGTCATACCCTAAACCCAAGGGCATGGGCCATGGGCTGCCCCATCCCTGTCTGGTCCCGGTATTCCTGGAAGGGGGCATCTGGGTGGTAGGGTGTCACCTGGGAGGTGTAGGGTCTGGGAGTGACCCTCTGTTGGAATGCCCTGCAGTCCCTCCCTTAGGGACAGGTCTAAAGCAGAGATTTATCAGGGAAGGGGCCAGGACAGGAAGGGCCCTCCATTAGTGTGCCCCAAGGAGGCAAGGGCGGCAGCGGAGCGCCCTTAGAGCCTTCGCTCTGGGGTGCCTCTGAAGGCGTCTCTACCCTGGCCCTTCCTTGCCCTCTTCGCTCCACACCTCCCCGCCCTCTGCGCCGCCCCCAGAGGGCCGGGACCTCAAGGTCTGCGCACCAGGAGAAAGCCTGCTTAATTACTCACTTCCTCTGCAGCACTTTCCTTTTCTGTTCGGTAATTGCGTCTCTCCTCCCCACGTTCACAGTCAGTGTCTCGCTGTCTCACTGCCTGCTTCAGGGAGCCCTGGAGTCCAGGGAGCTGTTGCTGGGGGACCGCAGCCCCGCGTTCCTGTGCCTGGGGTCTGGCACATCTGTCTTTCATGGACACCGTACTGCATGATTTTCAACCCCAGCAGTGACTCATCCCGTTAGGGCGGGAGAGGGAAGGTGTACCTTTGTTTCCCCAAACCTGAAAAGCGGGCCCTGTAAAGTCAGGGTTCTGGGAAGAGCAGTTGTCCTGTGCAGAGGTGTCAGCACCCTGTTCTGTCTCCCGTGGCCTCCACACGCCCTGCATTCCCCGGCTGGTGTCCTCCAGGGAGAAAACGACAGACGGACACTCTGCCTCCCGCTGACCCTGAGTGCAACTTGGGTTCTGGAGCCACCTCGCAGTCCTGCTCTCAGGGCTCCTGGAGTTTTTCCCTCCGGGCGAAAGTTTCAACCCAGAAGGTCCCTAGTGTCTGAATGGCAGCGCGAGTCTGTGACAGGCGTTCACAGTGCCTCGAGGTTTATACTGCACGGAGCTGGCACAGCTCGGAGCGCTGTGCCTTAGCGGTAGCAGGCAGGGGAGTGTCTGCTGGCCCGCCGAGCTGGTGGTTTTTCTCTCTCTTTCTTTTTTTTTTTTCAGTAGTGGGGCTTGAACTCTGGGCCTACACATCTCTTTTTTTGTGAATGTTTTTTTTTCTTGTTTTGTGGTAGGGGCTCAAGAACTATTTGCCTGGCTGACTTTGAACTGCGATCCTCCTGATTTCTGCCTCCTGAATAGCTAGGATTACAGGCGTGAGCCACTGATGCCGTGCTTGAGCTGGTGCTTTTGAGGTGTGCACAATGCTTTGCCCCACTGTGCTGCCTGTCTTTATGACTTCAGCTGTGCTTGGGGCACCAGGACAAGCAGTGTGGCTGAGGAAGGCAGCGGGGAGGCAGACACTGACTGCCGTCCTGGGGGAAAAGCCTGTTGAGCAGGCTGAACGGTTGGAGGAGTGGGGCATTCCTTCTGGCTTGAGGAAGTTGCAAACTTAGAACAGGATGCTGGGAGCTTCTCTGTCAGCGGTTGGGTACTTAGGCTTGTCTCATTGAAAACCATCTAGAGATTTCATTGAATTCAGAAAAAGGAAGTTAGATGCATGTGAGCTTGTCACTGTGAAATGGGAATTTTGTCCCTGATTTGAATGGAGTGTAATACATACTGTGTCTGTTCTCTCAGGTTTTGGTACCCAGTTTATGTTATTGTTTTGTTTTGAGACAGACTTACCATGTGACCCAGGCTGGTTTCGAACTTGTGGTCCTTCTGCCTGAGCCTCCTGAGTGCTGGGATTATAGGTGTATGCTACCATGCCCTGCTGATAGCCAGTTTTGACATTAATATTTGAAGTTAAACATTTTGCTACCATAAGCTGTGGTGAGCTCTCTTGTGTTGGAATTTTGTTGACTTGACTGTGCTCCAATTCAGTGTGTGGCAGTTGCCCCAGGCTTGGTGGTTTTGCACCAATTCCCAAAGCAGTCCCATCCTTAGCCACCTTCTTCCCTGTCCCAAGGGCAGGTGACAGATAGCCATACAGGTGACATTGTACACACCACACACTCTCCTGGGTAGCCCCTACTAAGGAAGGATGGCGGGATTTACCCTCAGTTGTCACTAGAAGCATGTCTTTCAGTTTTCAATATTTTAATAATTGTTGGGGAAATGACTCTTGATATAGCCAGGCGCTGGGCTCAATCCTGTGAGCGTGCCTGGTCCTGTCAGGCCTCTGAAGCTGAGCAGGGCTGGATGTGTGGGGGAGAATCCCCGGATCTGCCAGGTGGATGGAGCGAGCGCGTGCCTTAGGAGGACTTGGCGAGGCCACAGAGTCCGCACTGGACCGGTTCTTGTAGACCGTCAGCCCCTGAGGTCAGGGCTGAGAATCTGTCAGCTGTGGTTAGCCTTAGTGTAGGACCTGGCTAGCAGCAGGTAACCATGGGTTATGTTTGTTGAGTGAACAAATGTCTGTACAGCTTCTACAGGAGATTAGGTTAGGTTTTCTGAAACATGGCTGCCTTCTTTGGTCATAGAGTGGCATGAACGTGTGTGTAGTGCTAGTTTTTTTTTTTTTACCTTAATTCAGAACTTGAATTGGATATGACTGGTGAATTTTTTTCTTTTTCTTTTTTTTTGGTAGTACTGAGAGTTTGAACTCAGGGCCTGGCACCTGCTAGGTAGGTGCTCTACCACTTGAGCTCTTCTGCCAGTCCCTTTTTGCTTGGATTATTTTTGAGGTAGGATCTCACTTTCAGCTGGACAGGCCTGGACTGACTGCATGTGATCCTCCTGTCTGTTGTTCCTCAGTAGCCAGAATGGTAGACATGCACAACCATGTCCAGCCATTGGTTGAGATGGGGTCTCCTGAACCAACTGGGTTGGCCTCCATCCACCATCCTCCCACTTTCTGCCTCCCAAGTAGTTAGGGTTACAGACACGAATCACCACACCTGGCATGACTGGATGACTGAGGAATTCAAAAGTCCTTTCTTTGCTGTTCTTCCTTTTCTTCCTGATTTTTTTCTTTTAATGGTGGTGCATGGAACCCAGGACCTTGCATATGCTGGGCAATGCACTGCCACTTGAGCCACGCCCTCAGCTCCCCATCTTCCTCCTTCAGCCCTTGTCCCAGGTCCTTTGTAGGAAGTCTGGATTCCTTAAATGGTTACAATGAAATCAGGATTTCCTTTTGAGTCTTGCAACCCAGTGGCTCACGCCTGTAATCCCAGCTACTCAGGAGGCAGAGATCAGGAGGAACGAGGTTCCAAGCCAGCCCAAGCTAATAGTATCTAGAAAATACCCAACAGAAAAGAGGGCTGGCAGAGTGACTCAAGGTGTAGGCCCTGAGTTCAAATCCCAGTACTGCCAAGAAAAAAAGAAAAGAAAAAATATCCTTTTCCTGTAGCTTTAGGGGCAAGAGTTTCGAGCTATGGAGTCTTT